GGGGGGGCGTGAGCAAAAACAAGGCTGATGTGGACAACTTGTGCTTGTTTGTATCGTTTTGTTTTGTGTGAGAGGGTTCCTGCTTCAGCAACAGGGGGTGCTTCTTGTGCGTTATGGAATTTGGAACTCGGCTGCAGGCTGTTGTTGCCAGGTGTCAATGTCATTTTTCGTGTCATGTTTGCTTCAGAGGCTGGGTGTTGGTCCACTGCGATTCACTTGCGCAACGCAATGGTTTGCGAACTTGACGCCCACCTCTTTCACCCGAAGCGGTCTGTTCCTGGCGTCCGAAACGTGTCTTGCTTTTCCTCCATGATCTCTCCAAAAAGTTATCCGATGTACAGTGCACATTTCTTTGATTTTTTTCCTTGTCGGAATCAACTTCTCAAGACCTTTTGGCTTGTTTCATTTGAAGTTCAAGCGAAGACCTTTGTGGTCTAAGTCTCTTCAAACGATTGGCCCAAATCGACACTTTGAGGTCATTTTGTAGCTAACGAGTGCTACTAGTAGTAGCTTCTTGTTACTGGCTGTTGGGATTATGTGAGTATGTTTTTGAATGTGTTGTCACTTCACAATGTTTCTACAATGTTGGCAATTCCATCAACTGATTAAACCGTGAATGGTGTTGAAGGTATGCCATCCAAGCCGCCCAACTTGCAGAGGATATAATTTTCGTTTTGTTTCTTTCTATCACACAAGCTGCTTCAACATGGCTGGCAAACGAAAACGTGGAAAGCAGGGAACTGAGTGAGAAGTTTTTGACCTTTGGAACTGATGGGCAGATGCTAAACATGCTAGGTCATCGGGGCTTTGGCGGATTTGTTTTGCACCAAGGTCCGGCAAGGGCAAGAGCAAAGGCAAAGATGAGGCAGAAGACTCAGTTGGATGAACCACGTCAAATCTTGTAATCAAAAACATAAAGAAACCTAGAGAGAACACTCAGATTTCAAACCAAAAAAGAACATGACAGAAAACCTTCCTCGGCTGACGGCAGGAAGAGAAAACTGTTTGTTTTGCATCTTCCACGCTCGGCTGACAGGGCGAGGATTCTGAGGCGAGATGGGGTGAAAACGGCACAACTCTTCTGGGGTTTGATTCCAGCTTTGGTATCTGGAAGAAGCTGGAAAGCCAAAGCAAGCAAGCAAGCAAATCAAAAAACATCTTTTGAAGAAGAGGCTTGAGCAGAGAGACGCAGTCTCTGCTTGAGGCAAAGCGCCAACGAGAGGAGAGCCTGCACATGTCCAAAAGAGGTGTCCAGGGCAGCGGAAAAACATATCAGGACTCTTGAGGTGTGATTGTAGCTGGTTGATAGGGGCCATATTGAAAAACACATGTTTTTCAATGTGGTTGGAGGCCATCGCTAGTAGGTTTGGAGGCCATCGCGAGAAGGTTCGGCTGGTTGGAGGCCATCGCTAGTAGGTTGGAAGACACGTGTTTGTAACTATTGACGTTGAATTGCTTTTGAGGACTGGCGAGATGAGCCGTGGGAGTACAAGAATGAGCTCTATGAGGCCTACTACCGACGCCAACAGATTTGTTCCGAGGCGCCATGGGAGCTGGACTGAACAAAAAGTGAAACAGATTGAACAGAAGGAAACATCAGAGAAGAACATGGTCAAACATTTATTTCATAGACTGTGATCACACGACATATGAAGCCTTAAGACCTGAGACCTGTTCCATATCACCGAGAGCGGATGTGACCCGATCTTGTAGGCAGACTTCCTTCGACTGTTGGAGACCTTCCAAACCGGATTGCCTGCCTGGGTTCTCGACTTGAAGCTCTTCACCTTTCAAAGGTAAATTGATACATGGAAATACAATGTACAGTGCATATATAGATATGTGTATATAGCCTATATCAGCCTGACTTTCTGCGAAGATTCCCAAGGATAGATCGGTCAAGGTCTTGTAAACTCTGAGGTTGCGATTAGGGTGAATCGCATGCGCTGAGAGCTCATTTCGGGCGGCGCGGAGGAATTGGGTTTTCAAAGGTTGGATGCAAAACTTGTTCAAACCAATTGTGTGACAATTGTTTTACGTTTGTTCAGTTTGCCTTGTTTTCTATTTCACACCCATTCCTTTGCCTTTGCCAGTGTCCTCTCATAAGCCGGCTTGTAACTGTAGTCGGACTCAGAGCTTTCTAGTGTTTGTGTCTTTTCACCACATCAAGAGTTGCCACCTTACACTTCATGATGCCACATCTCTACTTGCAGCTGCCTATCATCCAAAAAGGAATATGACAGTTTGTGTCTTTTGTTCGCAATTGGGTCGCAGAGTTGACAAACTGGTATCTAAGACAGAAGGCCAATGTTCTTCCACCCAAGTTGAACATATCTGCAACTTCCTACGTTGTGGTGAACACATCGCCGAGATGTCATGAGCCATTTCGTTTAGCCATCATGAGCCATGGGGGATTGGAAGGATCGAAAGGAGTGGAAGACATGGGGTGACAAGAGGAAGTGGGACGAGTGGGACGAGTGGGAGAGCAAAGATTGGAAAGGCCATGACAAATCGGATTCCAAGAAGTGGAAAGGCAAACAAGAGTTTGATGACCACATGCCTGTGACACCTCCAGAAGTGTCCAGCTCTGCACCTTTGACACCACTGGGACCTGTAAAGCCTGCAGAACCTCTAGACCCTCCACAAGCTGCGCCAGGCACACCATGGCATCGTTTGCCGGTCACTGAACGGATCTTTGACCCAAAAAGGCCTCACCAAAGTGTACCCGGTACACCTGCTGCAGCCTTCATCAAACAGCCAAGCACACCTGGACTTCCAGTGCCCAGTACCCCGTCTCACCTGTTTCCAAGCACGAACGCGGCTCCTGTTTCCACCACCCCTGGGTCAAAAGTGGCCGGTGCCAAACCTCCGACGTTGTTGGAGAACACCCCACTGGATCCACTGAAGATGTTAGCCAACATCTTGGATGAGCTCAAGAGGCGAAATCCTAAAGCTTCCAAAGAGGCGGAAGCAGAATTCAGGCCAATGCTCCAAAGAGCACCTGTCGCATCCAAAACTCCCATTCCGTCTGTGCCACGCACGCCCACTGGAACAGTGCCCCACACACCTGCCATGCCAGTCACGCCTACGGCGACGGCACCCCAAACACCTATGGCAGGCCCCCGCACACCCACGGCGGCAACTATGGCACCACAGACTCCAATGGGTGCGATGCCTGGAACACCTGGTGCCGCAACTATATTAGACCCTTTTTCCTTGTCTTTTTTCTTTGTTTCAAATAGCGATGGCCTCCAACCTAATAGGCATGGCCTCAAACCTACTAGCGATGGCCTCCAACCTAGTAGGAATGGCCTCCAAACTACTGGCGATGGCCTCCAACCTCATAGCGATGGCCTCCAGCCTAATAGCGATGGCCTCCAACCTAATAGGCATGGCCTCCAACCTAATAGGCATGGCCTCCAACCTAGAAGGGATGGCCTCCAACATAATAGGAATGGCCTCAAACCTAGAAGCGATGGCCTTCAACCTAATAGGGATGGCATCCAACCCAATAAGCGATGGCCTCCATTTCAGGAGCACTTCCGGGGACACCTGGTGGTGCACTGATGGCGAAGCGGCTGATGTTGCCCAGCGCAGCGCAGATGAGATCTTGGGGTCTCCAGCTACGTCAGTTCAAGTCCGAGCGTGGCTCCACGGAGGCCATGTGGGATATCCCTGAAGACGTGCCCGCCTGGATGCAGGAGTGCGAGCGGATGTACCAAGGGGTCACCGCTGATCAATTGAGATGGGCTCAACCAACAAGGACCGAAAAGTCGCAGTTTTTTCTCCCCAAACAGTGTGGGCACACTGAGGGGTTCTTACGGTAGTGGAAAAGCAGGTGTGCTTCGATTGCTGTTCCGCGCGGCCGTGTCCGGCTAATTCGTCGCTATTTACAGTACATTCATTGCCTCTCGACATCATCAATGTGCATTTCGACTGCGCAGGCTCGCAGAATCTGGGTGGCTGGAGCGTGTGCTTGTCACGACTGCGCTCTCGTTGTGGTGTCGTGCGCATTTTGGTACATGGGGGTCACTTTTCATGGCAGGCGCAAGGGAAACCTCCTGTTTTGGTGCTCCAAAATCAACTTTTCGTGACAGGTGCAAGGGGTCGGAGCTGTTTTACTTCGAAATGCAGTTTCGTGGCAGGTGCAGCACTTTGGACATGGTGGTGATCGTCAATGAGCTCAGATTTCGTGACAGGTGCAGTGAGTCGTGACTTTTGGATATGTGTCTCGTTTGCAGATTTCGTGGCAGGCGCAGCACTCTGTGACCCTCGATGTGCAGATTTTGTGGCAGGTGCAGCACTTTGTGAACCTCGAAGTGCAGATTTCGTGACAGGTACAGCACTTTGTGAACCTCGAAGTGCAGATTTCGTGACAGGCGCAGTACTCTGTCAACCTCGAAGTGCAGATTTCGTGGCAGGCACAGCGCTTGGTGAACCTCGAAGTGCAGATTTCGTGGCAGAAGCAGTACTTTGTGCTCTCAGATGCTCACTCTCTCACTCGTCTCCCACTCTCACTCACACTCACACGCATTGCGCTCGCACTCACACTCGCTACCCACTCACTCTCCCACTCCCACTCAACACCCACTCACTCTCCCACTCACTCTCCCACTCGCAGACTCTCACTCGCTCTCACTGACACTCGCGCTAACACTCACTCACTCACACTCACACTCACACTCACTCTCATTCACTCACTCTCACTCCCACTCTCACTCTCACTCTCACTCTCACTCTCACTCTCACTCTCACCCTCACTCTCACTCTCACTCTCACTCTCACCCACACTCACTAACACCCACCTTCACTCTCCCTCACGCTCACTTTCACTCACTCACTCTCACTCTCACTCTCACTCTCACTCTCACTCTCACTCTCACTCTCACTCTCACTCTCACTCTCACCCACACTCACTCTCACACACACTCGCTCTCACACTCACTCTCCCACTCTCACTCACACTCACACTCCCTCTTACCCACACTCACTCACACCCCCCTTCACTTCATCACCACCATCACCTCTCTGGATCTAGACTTTCTGCTTGCAGACCTCGCACACACTGTTTGGGGCCTCTTGCCGGGAAAATTTTTCGATGTTGTTGCGACACGTTCGCAGGACAAAGAAGGATCGAAAGAAGCCAGTTCCGGCTCGCGTAATACCCCAGACAAAGAAGGCTGATCTCAATCACCCAAATGAGGCGGGGCAGAACAGTGGGCGAAAGCAGGGGGCAGGAGTCGTTAGCTAAATTGACCCATTGAGGCCGGTGCAGTTCGCGGTTTTGGATATCAAAAAACACTGTCCAGTGCGATCCTCGAGGTCTGGCGTAAGGCGTTCCCCAGCTTCGAGGAGTACCAGCGCAGGAAGAAACTTGGCCTTCCTCTCACCGGTGAACGTGATGGGGGCGGCGACACACCAGTGCCGTTGCAACCGGGGGATGCAACGCCAGGATCTTTTGGAGGCCACTCCATACATTGCCGAGTTGTGTGTTAAACGACAAATATTTGCGAACCATTGTCCAAGTAGATCAGAGTGTAGCTGTCTGACATCATTACATCACTGAATGCATGTGCAGCCCTTTTGAGTATCAAGAAAAAGTGCGTATGGTAGCGGAGCAAGGAGAAAAGCGCCTAGGTCACTGGGTAAGGATGCGATTTCGAGCCATAGATTTGGGGCCTTTGGAAACCAAAAAGCTGCACTTGTGAAGAATGCTTGTGAGCAACACTCTGTACCCAGTACATTGTGTCAAAGAGTTCAAACTGTAGCACAGAGTTCGCTGGCAACAACACCAGCAGCTGAGGCAGTGAAGAAAGCAGTTGAAGACAAGAAGTCATCATTAGTAGATAGGTCAAAATTGATAGCAAAGCCCAAAATCTTTGACTGTAGGTCACAAGAAGAAGAGATTACGGCGTTCAGAGAGTGGTCATGAGTCTTTGAGAAGTACTTGGTGCAGTTGGTGAGGGCTACATGAAGGACTTGAAGGAAACTCATGAAAAGCCAAATGAGAGCTTTGATTGGGACTTGGGCAATTTGAGAAGAGAAGACCATGTGCATCAAGCTCTATGGTTTGTTGGCTTCATTGATGAGAAGAAGGGCACTACAATTGGTGAAAGCTGTGGAAGTCTCCAATGGATTTGATGCCTGGACGAGTTTGAATAAAGCGTTGAAACCAACTTCAAAGGCAAGAGGCTTAGCACTTTTGGGACCAGCCACTAGATGGCCAGCGTTTTCACTGAACAGCGCGCTAGAACCTCAGCTCTTGAAGCTTGAAGAAGTTGGGATGAGAAAGTAAAGGCACGGACTACAACTCAGGAAGAGTTGAAATCTGCAATTCCTTTGAGACGTGTAGGTGGACAACTCAAATCCTACTTGAACTTGACAATTGGCGAACATGTTCAACACTCAACCTTGAGGGAACAAGTGTTGCAATGGGATCGCTCTCAGCAGAAGTGGGCTACTTCCGTGGTGGCTAGTAGCAGTACAGACTATCAAGGGCCTATGCCAATGGACGCTGATCGAGTCCAAGATGCCCAAGGACAAGGTAAGAAGGGCAAGAATGACAATCAGAACGGCAAAGGTAAAGATGCCAAGGGCAAAGGAAAGAAAGGACAAGGAGATCAGAAAGGAAAAGGAGGTGATCACAAGGGCAAAGGTAAAGGCAAAGACCAAAAAGGCAAAGGTGTGGCAACTTGTTACACTTGTGGGAAGCCAGGACATCTAGCTAAAGACGGTTGGAGAAGCAATATTCGACCGGTAGCGAGTGATCAGACCCATTCATCTTCAGGAGGAGCATCAGTGACAACTCATACAGTTTGTCAACAACATGCTAGGGTGAGCCAACAAGAGAGCTCAGGAGAGACCAAGCCCGTAGTCAGGAGAATTGTGAACAGACTTGAGACGGATATGATGAGCTAGAAGATCAAGGAGTTCGAGTAATTCACTTCTATGATGATGATGAGCCAGAGTTCCAGGAAGCTAGGAGTGAGGATGTGGCCATCATTATTGACAGTGGAGCTGATGTAGCATTATTCCCCACGAGTATGGCAGATCATAGGGAAGGAGAATTGCAACTCAGCGCGTGACCAAACTGCAAATCCTATCCCCACAGAAGGTACGAAGAATGTTGAAATTTCCTTGCGCGACCTTGATGGACGAGAAGTTCTTCTCAAAGAGAAGGTGATGTTGAATTCAAAGGTGAACCGACCCATACTTTGTTATGGAAGGTTGATGGAACGTGGTTGGGGAATCAACAGCAGAGAGCAGATGTTGGAGCATGGTGACTTGAAGGCACCGCTCAACCTACAAAGTCGCTCTTTAACAATTCAAGGCTGCATTAGAGTCATTCGAGGTGAAGATGAGAGCTACTTGGAGGTGCAAGTGCCTGAAGCTTTGAAGAAAGAATCAGGTTGGAGATTCAATGAGCATGGAATGCTAGTTGGAAGCTCAGTGATTTCAAGATTTGTGATCCCACAGTCATTCCAGAAGTGGAAGAATCACCAGAGCTGATGAGAACCACTTTGGTGAAAAGAGGAGGTAGATGGTTAACGCCCGAATATTGTGAAAACGTGATGAGAAAGGAGGAACTTGATGAGCAATTCTTTGATGATGATGCAGTCATTCCTTCAATCACAACCTTCAGCTATGAGCCAGCGCCGCGCGGAAATACCGGATTCTTTGCGCCAGGATACAAGAAGCTTAAGAACGGAGGGCAGAGAAAGAAAGAAGTGCAACAGGCAATAGAAGAGATTACCCGTACTCCCCAGGACCCCAGGAGAAGAAGGTAGAAGGTCAGAAAGAAGATGAAAGGAGGGAGGATGACCTTGAATGTGAACTACAAGTGAGCCCAATGGATGTAGACAAACTCTTGGTGAATGAATGGAATAGAGTTGACTAAGGATTCTTCTTTGGCAACTCTGAAGGCAGCGTGTTCATTTCTCGACATTTCAGGCAGTGGCTCTAAAGTGAAGGTCTACACCAAGATCCTCAATCGCAACAAGAAGATGGAATTGTTGAACGACATTAGCTTGGTGAGTCAAGCAAGAGCTCAGGAGACAAGAGAGGCATTAGAACAAAGCGTTGCAAAGATGCCAGATGAAGCGACTCAAGCAAGGCACAGGTTGACGCGCACGCCATATGCCAATGGGTATAACGAGTGCATTGAGCATCGAGCGCGAGAGAACAGATGGAGTAAAGAGGGGAAGTATTCCTGAAGTAAGCTTTGACGCTTTGACTTTTGCTACAGAAGAGCGAGGGATTCAGAAACAAAGTCAGCGAAAGCAGTATGTTGGCTAGTTGCAATCCGGGCTGGATTCATTCATGTTGTGCTGCTAGGAAGCAAAGGCCAATTTCGTCTTATTGTGCGTCTTATTGTGCAGTCGATGAATTTCAGTCAATTGTTGGGGTATTCAGCAATCGCCTACAGGAGTGACCATGAACCCACAAAAAGGCAAACTGTCAGAGAAAACAGGTGACAGGGTGAGGAAGCTTGCAGGAAGGTGTGCAGTCAAGACTTGGTATTAAGATTGGATCAGTTCATGCACTTTGGACTTGGGCAGCAAGACATCCAACCCGCTATGAGCTTGTCTGTGGCAAAAGCTACAAACGACTTCTAGCAGAATATGGCGAACCAGGTCATGGTTACATCAAGGGAACAAAGGGGAAGCAAGATTGCGTCTATGGGAAGGTTAAAAGGCAAAACGTCTATGTGCTTACAGATGGAGTACAGATAGTGCTTAGCAAATGCGCCAGAAGAACAGATCAAGATGGGTCCAAATACTTGCCCATATATACAAGAGCTTCCAAGCTTTTTCATGGGAGTGCCAAACCAACTTTGGAGGCAGAATCACTGCCGCTAAGAGAAGAGCAGAAGCATTACCAGACAGATATCCCTCGAGAACATGTAATGGTGAAATTCAGAGATGAAGATGCAGAAGTAGTCATGGCCAAGGCACTGGAAGGAGGAAGTGATACAGAGAAAGAAGAACTACAATTCCCAGAGCCAATGGAGGTTCCAGCCTTGCTGGAATGTTGAAGCAATGAAAAGAGATGGTGAAAGGAAGCCAAGTGGAGAGGAAACTCCAAGTAAGAAGCAGAAAGTTCTCTTGACAGGTCACCATCAGCGCCATCAAGACCGAGAGAAGCGCTTGCGGAGGAAAGTGCAATGAAGACACTCAGGCCATCGGATGATTCAAGCAAGAAGGCTAAGATCAACATCGTGACAGTTGGAGGAGAAGATCCTATCCCCAATTGCTAGAAGAAGCTGGAGAAGAAGAGTGGGATGATGATGAAGAAGATGAGTCAGATTTGGCTTGTGACGTGATGGAGAACATGAACCTGAAGGAGAACCAGAAGAATGGATAGACATAGTAGCTGATGAGCTGGAAGAGACCCCCAAAGATGCAATTGCTAGAGAAAGCGGAAGTTAGCGCAAAAGGAATCAGTTACTTGACAACGCGCAGTGTGTATGACTGGAGGAAGAAACCATATCAAGTTGGAGATGGAATTTCAGTCCAATGGTGAAAGGGAAGATCAAGACTAGTTGCAAGAGAGTTTGCTTTCTCTGAAGGAAAGAGAGATTACATTCTCTCACCCGCGACTTCAGGACATGTACTGAAGCTTCTACCCACAATATTCTTGCAGAGAATCAGTGAAGAAGAAGAAGCAAGAGAGGGAGAAGCAGCATTTTGGCAGGCGCTAGGATGTCTTGATGTGAGTTGGAGTGCAGTGATCATCATGATCAATACCATTGGTTTTGCAGCAGCGACCTTTGCACTGTGGAAACCCTACAAGCGAATTGAAAGGCGCTACGATGAGCTATACTATCGCGAGGAAAAGCGCTAGTGTGAGGAAGATACTAGCTACAGAACAACAGACGATAAATCACTGAACTTGGCAATGACATCAGACAGATTGAGAACTATGAAGACGGAATTGATCCCCTACACAACTACGCCAGGAGAATTCATTGTGGATTGGTTTCCAATGGAGGCTTTGTTGCGCGTGAGGTACAAACAACCATCGCCTATGATGTGCTAGGAGAGATGCAGGATACTTCTTTGCCAGAAGGAGCTTGGGAGAGGATGCAAGCAACAGAAGGACAGTATTGGGGACATCGAGTAGTGTTGCAGGCAGCTACAGATGGAGGACCATTGAACAGAATGTTCAAAATAGGAAGCAGAGAGATATCAATGAGAGAACAATATACTGTAGAGCAGGCAAGCCAAATGTGCGGTCGACTTGGAGCAAAACTTGAACAACTCAATGAGAGACATTGGAACCTCATGAGTAAAATGATTGTAGGAGGCAGCAGACATGGCAGAGAAGGAAATGGAACAGTATCAAGAAATGTTGGAAGTGCAATCATGAGGAGAGACTATCCAGATAGACCGCAAGCAATGTAACACCAATCTCTGGGAAACCGGTTCCTCAGAGAGGTGACTAAGCCTGCAGAGAGAAAACAAGAATTGGATGGAAGAAAATGGGCTATGGTGGCAAAGTGAGCTCAAAGAAGCATCTTAGAGTTTCACAGTGCCAAGAACGAGTGCGAACCATTTTCCAAGTAGATCAGAGTGTAGCTGTGGGACATCATTTGCATCACTGAATGCATCTGCAGCCCAAATGAGTCTCAAAAAGAGCTGGCCTCCAACCCAATAGCGGTGGTCTCCAACGTACTAGCGATGGCCTCCAACCTAAAAGCGATGGCCTCCGACCCACTAGGAATGGCCTCCAACCTAGTTGCGATGGTCTCCAACCAAATGTGGCATGTCATATTGTTTCGGAGGCGATGCCTTTGTTGCCTTGGCGATGACTCCAGGGCTTTCGGGAGAGACCACCCCGCTGCTGGACAACTTCTATGCTGGAGATCTTTTCGGCATGTCTCTGCCCGCCACACCCAAAGGCTCCTTCGATGCTGGTTAGGACAGTCAATCCAACATGCAGAACAGTTGTATCACCTAGCACGCTTATTGGAAGCAGGTAAGCAAACTGATGTTGAAATGCAATTGAATGCATGTAAATAGATACTTGAAATACGACTCTTTTGCTGGCAGGCTGAAGAAAAGATGCACATTATTGCTGACTTGAGGAAATGCCTGTCAGACTCAAGCAGCAAACACAGCAAAATGGGGTGACCGTCGTACAATGAAACCGTCTTTACAGCCGTTGTTTTTTGTTTGCAACATGGCATTGGTCCTTGAGCGTTGGAGGCCATCGCTTCTAGGTGGAGGCCATCACTAGTAGGCTGGAGGCCATTGCTACTAGGTTGGAGGCACATGGCATTGGCTCTTCGTTTGACATGGCGCTCTGCTGCGCCACGAGAACTTCATGATTTGCTGCACTTTGTCTTCCTCTGAGGGCTGGGTGCCTCATCTTTGAGAGATCGCTTGGAGGAGCTGGCCAACAACCGCCCGGGGATCCTGGCCAACAGATGTCTTGCGCTGTGTATCTGAAAATTTGCTGGATGTTTCACAATACTGGCCAACAAAGTATTTCTGTTGAGATGGTTTATGCTGGGATGATCGGATGACCGGGTTGAGGTGACCCAGAGATGAAGTGCTACGCACCACAGAAGCTCTCATGGTGCGAGAAGTGCTGATTGGTGACAGGAAATGATCTATGAATCTATGAATCCGGCCTCTAAGCCTTCTCAAACACCTTAAGAAGATACTTCGTGGGACACCTGAAGGGTCAAGTCACACTTTGTGCGACACTTTGCGTTCACTGAAGGGTATGATGGCCAGGTACTCTCATGGCCTCGGTTGGATGTGGCCTGGACTGGAGCGCCGCCTGGTCTGTGGACAGAGCTGACCTTTCTTGACCCGAGCTGTTTAACGAGCTGACATTATAGAACTCGCTACTAGGGTGGAGGCCATCGCTATTGGGTTGGAGGCCATTGCTATTAGGTTGGCGAGCATCGCTAGTAGGTTGGAGGCCATCGCCTCTAGGTTGGAGGCCAATGCTAGTAGGTTGGAGGCCAATGCTATTAGGTTGGAGGCCATTGCTATTAGGT